GAGCTGGAGTTACTACACTCAAGTAATTTATCAATAACATACTGGCATACTTCATGAAACAAAAAMCAAGATATTACATCCAGTGCACCACTAAAAATTAAGAAAACTTTCTCCCAAAACWGTGAAAGGTATATACTGAAGAATAATGCAGAACTTGTCTAGCTCAACTCAAATTCTCCTCTGGAAATGTATGCTTCTCTCAGAAGCAGATTCCCAGCACAGGGACTGGTAATTTATGATCCACCAAAATACTCTGTTGAACAAAAAAGTAATACCTACACCGTGCCTATGCAAATCAYTAAGAATAAGTGACTCCAAGGACCAGTAAGAACAAAGCCCAAAACTCCTATCAAACATTATCTGAGGTTTGAAAAAGTCAAGACAAAGTGTAATTTTTTTAAATGGGGATAAATTGGGATTTCTGTAACAATTGACTCATTTTGCCTGCTTTTATCTAAGGATCTCAAAGAGCACTCCAAGTGTTAATTAAATTACAAAGCATTTTTGAGACAGGTAAATGGTRTTATGCCCACTGGGGAACTGGGAGAACATTTATGTTTCATTACTAAAGTCACACAGTAATCCAGTGGCTAGTAATACAACCCAAGAACTGCCAGTTGCCACTTCTACTCATTGACTCAATGGCCTCGCAAGAGATAAAATTAGCCTTAAAAGCCAAAAATACTTTTCCTCTTGTGCTTTTCTGTCTTTCAAGACTAGGCCAAGATTCTTTAATTTTATTTTATCCTTCTTCCTCTGCTTACTGGGAGGCCTTTCTTTCAGGTTCACATAAAAGAAGCCACTTCCTAAGCTACCCAAGTGTGTTCAGGATCACAGTACAGCACGGGTAGGAGCTCACACAAGGGCAGTGAACTGCAATATTTCTCTTTAAGAGCTAACACAGCCTCCTCTAACCAGTCCTTCTCCCAGAGATGGCACATCAGAGCTCTGTCCCATCAGAATRAAGATGGGCAGATGTGCATATGAAATAATCCTTGGCTGGCCAATTCACAAATTTCCAATCATCCTTTACCAATGAAAGGGACACAAAACTGCCAGGGGGAACCTCGTGCCTCAAGCGTTTTGTACAAGAACCTCTCACTGAAAGGAACAATATCAAAAACAACCAACCAGACCCTGAAAATGCTTCACACCATCAAGTCTATTCTGCACCCTACTACACCTGAGTTGCACGTGAAGAGATGAGGGAGAAACGTTTCACTGATCATTCTGTAGTTATCCCAAWAAAGAAAGCCACCATTTTTCACTCCTGCTTGGTCCTGGCTGGGAGAGCTGCAGGATGCAGGAGCAATAAAGCAGTAAGGTACAATGCAATCTGCACAATACACAGTCCAACCTAAGGCACATCTAATTCAAGACTGCTACAGCTCAGTTAGAGCTTTAAATAATTATATCTCCATTAGTAAAAAGGCTTTTCAATTTTGTACATAACTACTTATACTAAAAACAGGRAAGCATCTTTTGGAACTTTCTTTAAGCCTTTCAAATGCAATGTTAAACCAAGATTTCAGGCTTTATTTTCCCCCTCATTTCTTGTTATGTCATGAAGAATCAGCTATGTGGAAGAGATGAGAATGTCTTTGATTTAAATGACCAAGACTTAAGATTGTCTTTACCATGGCAGAAAATAAAAGCTACCGSATATATTTCCAGTGGCAGTGTTATTGTTACACGGTATGACAATCATAATCTTTTTTTCTTTTCCTAAAAATAAGTCTAAAGAACCACAGTTTATATACTGCATTCAAAATATTTTTCTTCGTTTACATTGATTGCATATTTCAAATCATGTTACAGCTGTATCGCTTAGCCTAAATCAAATAAGGAATCCACATAAATGCATACACACACTTTGCTTGTTTTTAGACATTCCCAGTATTGACAAGATTAAAATATTTTTCTCATTCATTATTTATTGTGATATGATGAAACAGTAAGAGGATGTATTTAACAAACATCACAAAGTAGAGTTAAAATGTGGACATGCTGTCTCATTTTGATTTTGCTGCGACAGTGTTAAGTATGTGACTCCCTGACTGCAGTAATGACATCTTGGGGTGAGGAAGATTTAAGATGGTTTGCAAGGATGCAGTGCTATCCCAACTCTTCAGCCATGCTGATTRGGAGCATTATTAAACAGATGAAGCCAAGACTGGGAAGAGTGCAGTGGCTGCAGTCCCTCCTGTGGCAGAGGACTGGGGCAATTGGTGCAAGGGCAGCACTGGACCCCTCCACTGCATCCCTTGGGGGTGCAACTGGAATGACTGGAACACACACCACTCCAACACTTCCACAAGCATCAACAATTTTTGGTACCAAAAATGCCTCCTCTGGAAGGTTTCCCTGCCTCCTGGGAGAACCAGCAGTACCTGACAGCTGGAGTTTGGGGTCAAGTAATGCCATATCTGGTCGAGCCCCAAGCACRGTGTGGTGTGTGTGGCTTGGGCAGCCAGGTGTGTTTATCTGGRGCTGAAAACCACAGGCACAGCACTGCACCATCCCAGTGTCCAGCTCACACGTGGGCACCATTCTGCACATTTCTACTGGCAAAAAAAAGGCAAGGAAGGACCAAAGAGCACAGCAAAGCAACTGCAACCGAAACTGGTTCTGCTGGGCAGAGGAGCAGAGAGCTTGCCTTCTGCAGAAWGTGGCAGTATCTGGGTTAGAGCATAGAAAAAGGCACATTTTAGCCCAAATACTTATTCTTCCATACTGCAATCTAAATATACCTCCTATGAYAAATAAAGCAGAATAATCAGAAGGTACTGAGTGCTTAAAATGCACCCCTAACAAAGCAAAACAATGTAATGCATATCYTTCTTTACGTGTCAAACAATTTGCCTAACAAATCATAATAATGCAGAATGATATAAAATTCACCCATCAAGCCCAAATGCATGCACGAAGATTACCATGGCAAAGAATTGTGAATTTCATTAAATATGTTAAAGGCAAAAAAAAAAAAATTCCGCTTTGAAAAATAGTAATCCTGTCTTTCAACAAAAATATTATAGGAAGCTATGAATTTGGTAGATCTGAATAGGATGTTGGTACATGTTTTACTAAGGTAATATAATGGCACACTATTATTAGATCACATTAATCATTACTGTGCCAAAGGCACTGACAGCACCACTGAAAAGGATTGAAAGGGCTGGTAATGGATATAAATTACCCATTGTGTGATAAAAGGATTTTTACTAAGAAGGTAAGAATAAAACAGCAAATTTCTAATATAACTGTTGTGTAAAAACCAAAATAAAAGTAATCCAGTCAGTAATATCCACAAAATCAGAAAGTAAGCACTTTTGAAACAAGATAAAGTCACAATAAAAACTGTATACAATGTAAAATTAATTTTGTGCTGCATAATATTACTATCAATTTAAATAGTTTACACGATGACCTCTATGGTCAAGAGAAAGGTAAGCTTTGTTAATTAGAATYGAGTACGAGCTTCTGCATGTGTATTTTAAGTTTGTGGGCTTGGAATTTTTTTTCTTTTTTTCCTTTTTTAAACATATAATGGCTTCATAACACCCCCCTGAAATTCAAGGCATGTTGAGAGTTTTGTTTTGTGCGTTAACATCACAACAAACAGCACATCTCTCAGATGGTTTTATTTGGATTCCAAATGCTATTACAAAATGAACCACGTCTTTGCTGAGCTATTTAACCATTTGATTGAAACCATTTGTATTACTAATTGTCCAGTCCTGTGCTCCTCCTTTACTCTGGCAAGTATTTCCTGATATTAGCAGGGATCAGTGGAGCGAATTGGTCAAACTGCATCCTTATTTACAGCATTAAAAAAAATGCACATATCTCCTCTGAAGCTGATGGAATTATTCTAGAATCTAGTCACCGCAATTTTTTCCAAGTCAATTGTCTAGAATAAAATCCAGTAGCTCACATTCAATTAGTAAAGTTTTAAAAATTGTGAGCCATACTCTTAAATGATATAAATTCATAAGTACAGACATCAATCCTGGAAACACTTACATCTCTACTTAACTTTACTCACGTGAGTAATTCCATTAGCATCAGTAATTCAATACCTGCTTATGCATTTGCAGTACTGAAGCTTTAATATGCCTGGATATCCTCTCACATCAGCTATAAATCAGCACAATTCCTCTGAATCACAGAGTTTCTACTAATTCACAAGATATAAAAAGGAATGGACAACCCAGTATAACAATTATAGTAAAGAAATAACATAAGAATTTGATTTGGGAGCAGAAGTTATCAGAAATTTTGATTTAAGGATCAATTAATGCATGTGGAATGTGGAATTAATTATTGGTTATTTCCTAGGAAGCTAGACTTTTATTTCAGACTGAGGGCCAAATAACCCAATTCTGATTTCACACCTATTTCCACACCAATCTGATTTCTCAGACTTTACAGGAGCTTTTCTTCTACTGCACTGGAATAGCTCAGAGGAAAATCACATATACAATGTAGTACACCCCTCCACCCACTGATTTTCATGGGTGTTCTTCTCATGCTAATATACGACAGAATATGGTTCTTAATAATATGCATGAGATGTTCTATTGAACTTACGGGAGGGGAAAAAAAAAACACCAAAAAGTGATAAAATGAATTTAATCAGGAGTGTCATGGGTTTTTTTAAATCAGCAGTCTGATGATAAAGTAATAAATGATGATTCATCCCCAACACAATTATTACATATCAACTGCATAAAGATGAATGCTCATGATTTTACCAAGCAGACCTTTTTTTTGAAAAAAAAAAAAATCTATTTGTAGCTCACTACAACCTGAAAGAACTACAATAAAAAGTTTTGCAAAACAGATATTATATTTTTGAAGATGAAAAAAATAAACCATGAGAACTGATTTAAAAATCTAATTTTGGTATATCTCACTTCACATTATTTTTTCAATATGGAAAAAAAACCCTAGACTCAGATCCATAAACAGAAGAATGAGATCAAAATAAGTGTTCTTACCAGTTATTCTTAAGCCAATGAATCTGTTCCCTGGATGAGGAAATTCTTAAAAGACACAGGATTGGTGCTGAAGGTCACAACTGGAAAAATAAAACCTGTGAGAAATTTAATATGTCAAAACTCAATGTTTGAATCAGACATTTACATTAAAATAATACAATGCCACCTCAAGCAGACAGGACAGCAGACAGCATTAAGAATTACAATATTAATGGGATTAACACCTTTTCTTTTTTAACCTTTCATAATATATGTGTTTGGTGGTCATTTCATATTTGGAACTAAAAACTTCTTTCAGTTCTGGAATGTTTTGAGAGGGAAAACCTCCTCTCAAGATAATGATGAGGAACAGAATGAAATTCTTCTGATCCTTTCCCCTAGACAGTACAGCAAAAGAGGACAAAACAGGATAAAACAAAAGTTGCACAGCATACTCCAGAAACCCAGTTATTCTCTTTGACATTGATATTCTAATCTTTCAAACTGAGTAAAAAGAGAACAGCTACTAATTGTATTTTTACTTTTTTTTAATTCCATTTTATAACAGAAATAAGTCCTTTGTAGATGATCTCATCTAATAAACCCTACTTAAAAGAGATAAGAGCCAGCAGTAAAAGCCAAGCAGAATACTTCCAAGATATTTGTCAGTAGTGAATTTAGGGCCATTACATTAGTAAGCAAAATAGAAACAAAAACAAAGGGCATTCTTAGAGCAAAATAAAGTTCACTCGACTGAAGCTATAATCTGAAGAATTTATGACTGAGAATTCGAACTATGTTTATTCCTATGAATGTCTAACAAATGAAATTAAAGGTCACTTCCAAATAATACACTCTGTACATCTACATCAACCAAACTCTTTCATAAAGCAGGCTYTGAAACCCCAGTTCGAGCAGCACAGCCTTAGGGCTTCACCTAACACTGATTGCCCAGAGAAGCACCGAGTGCGCTGCAGAGCCAGGCTCTGGTAGTCAGGGTGGACAACATTTCTGTGGGAATTTCCCATTTCTGTGAGAAATAATCAAGATCTTGGCCATTTGACTGCATCTGGTTTAAAGTGGTCAGCACCAAAAGGACCACACTGCAGCACAGCGCTGTTTGTTGGCTGGAAGGGCAAACAACGATTCTGGGGGCTCCTCTTGAAGATGAAAATGCTGTGAAATAATTCTGAAAGCAGAGGTTCACTACCAAGCAGCCCTCCCTTACTGATAACAACACTTTCCATGTACTCTCCAAGCTCTCTGCAGTCTCCACCTTGTCCAGATCACATCCAAAGTGCTGCTGCAGAGTCCCATTCTCTCCAAGCCACCTCCTCTTCCCCACTTTGGTTTCTCCACCACACCAACCACAGGTTCCTCATGTGATGGTTCACCCCAGCGTTTCCCAAATCCCACTGCCTCCCTCCTCGCTTGTACACTCAACCAGCCTTTGTCACGGGCTTCAAATCCTTTTCCAAGTGATGAATCTGCCATGCAACTTCTGTGACACAGGAGAATTACCCCAATTAAAAGCTTCAAACCCCTCCTTCATAACTCATATTTCCACAGTAAATCACCAATTCTGCAGTAATCACCTGATTTGCCATCCCATTGCTCCTCACATGCAGGAAGACATTCCGCTCTGCTCTCTCCTCATGCCCAGTTTTCCTTTACCTGCCAGTTATCTCTGGGTTGATATTCAAATTATAAGCTCTGAAAGGCAAAGCCTGCCCTCTCATGAGACACTTTCCTATCGAGCTGAGTGGGTGGGGAGCAGGTACAAGGCATTACTCCAACCCAGCACCCCATATCCAATGGGTAAACCCAGCTACACGAGAAGAAAACCATTGGGATAGCCCAGCCAAGCACCTACAGTSCTGACTGTAGAGAATAAAAAACCTTTTGTAACTGGCTAAAGAAAACCCCTGTCATCAGATTTGGTCTTCCTAAACATGAAATTGTRTCTAGATAGCATTCAGATCACATTCATGAAGGCCCACACCATTTTAGAATTTAAATAAGTGAATTTCAGTTGCTATATTTGAACACACAGGAACAGCAGATTTCTGGACTGCTGCAGATAAACATAGGTCCCATCCAACATTTTCAGTTGCACACTATCTAAAAACAGTGACAGCTTGTTTGTCTGGAATTTCTGCTGTTGTTGATGTCTTAAAACCTCAAAGATATACCTTTCTAGTGCTTACTAGCAACTCATTCAGTGTAAGAAAGCCAAGGAACTGAAACAAAGATAATAAACTGTTGGGTTTCTAAAAGATGTTATCTCAMTAAACAGGTTCTTAGTACTCCTACACCAACATCATAGACTACATTTTTGCTATGCTATTACAAGGCTACTTGTGTTTAAAAAAAAAATTCAGCTTTTACATACACGCTCATGACTTGCAAAATTCTAGGAATGATTCTCAAGGGGCTTTCASTAAGATGCTTTATAAATTCTGATGACAGACAGAACACAGTAAGGCTTCATCTCTTAAAGTCCTGTACTGATTTGTTTGGAGGCTTCATGTCATTGATCAGCATGTCAATGTCTCTTGCAATCTGCTTTCCAGTTCATGACTGAGAGTGAACCCCTCAGGTTTAAAACCTTAAATGATTTAAGGTCTGTGATACATAACCTTACGAACAAATTGGGAAAATCTGTAGCTTTACACATTAAACTGTAACAGAAATGATTTAAAGCCTTATAAAAAGGTATTTTACTTACCTGTGCTAATATTATTCTAACACATTTGACACTGACTATGTAAAGCAGATATTTTAAAGGTACAGGCAGCAAGCTGCCTGGAAACAAATTAAGATAGTTCCACTTAGGTCAAATTGGGCCAGTTTACCAGTGTCTAATACACTCCCTGGCATTAAAAAAATGGCCCCATGAATCCTTACAGACCCATTTATTACAGTAAGCCTCCCACAGTAACACTCCTGTACAGTTGCACTTGGCTCAGTGAGAAATCCAGCATAGCCCCAGAGAAGAAAAAACCCCAAAGACCTTCTGAAAGAGTATGG